CAAAGACTTTGAAATGAATATGAGAAAAATCACTACTTATTTCTAAAGGAGCTTGCTAATGTTCTAAAATTAAATTAGCATGAGAGCAGATCACGTCGAAGTTTTAAAGAGACGCGCAAAACGTTCTACAATTATATCCAAATGCTATAGACTATAATAATATAGTCCTTTTGCATATTAGAAATATTTAGTTTCGATGTATTTCCGCCTGCTCGTCCAAGAACACCTGATGTCATTTCTCATTTAAGCCATATTAATAGCTCGTTTTACTTTTACACCAATCCTCGAAAGATTGCCCCTTTAAATAAAACTAATAAGACGGTGGTAGAGATTGTTCAGCTATTAATGGGCTAAATGCAATAAAATTGGATGGCTGGAGCCAAACAAAATCAGCTTTGGTCATTGATTATGTGAGATAAAATAGGAATACCACCCCCATAGAACCACGTCTTCCAACCGCCTACATAATATACTGTATCGACGCGTCATTTCAATATATCCTATACTGACGTCTTGAAGATATTAGACCTTCAACTATGGTTAGCACGTAAACTGTTATGCATCCATTCAATAAAACTGGTTTTGTATACGTCACGATCCAGGAAACGTATTCGATTTTCGTTCATACAATAAAATGATTGAACTTGAACAGCAACCTGTCTCATTATCAAACCTATTTAGCCCTGTTAATGGCGACTTGAACAATAATTTTTCTGGAAAGACAAATCAATCTATACACAAAATATAGTGTTCTAAACATGACTAATATTCAATCATCTCATTCTATATAACGGAGCCGTTCCAGATTCCAAACGATGTGTTTTAGCATTGATGAGGATCAGCTTAATTAGCATTGCAACCCATGTGCAAAATTTCACTAAACAGCATATATACCTTATTTGGAAATTGCATGCAGCTCAAAACATTTGGCTGTTCCAATATTGTTTAATAGTGTTACGTAAATAGAACAAAGAACTGTGGCCTGTATCTTATGTTGTAAGCGCGGCGACCACTACCTGTAACGTGTAGACTAGTTCTAGGAGTATTTCCCACAACGTTATTCACTGAATTATAACTTAAACGGCTACTTATTATTAATCCTGTCATGTTTACAGTCAAACGTATCGGGAAGGTTAATCCCACCACGACGGGAAAGGGACAGTCCTTTAGACGATGGTTAAGCCCTGACCTTGACTCAGTTTATGGAAAATGTTAGTTATGTTGACAACTGTGGGCGTTACCTAATCCAGTACTACCATTTTAAAATGATATAAAAAAGATAGCTTAATTAACTAACAGCAGAGCTCTACACATTAGCAACCAAAGCAGTCGTGGGCATTAAACGGTCGACCGTATCTTGAAGGTTAATCCCACAACTGCGAAAAGGGAACAATACGGAGCTCAGTAAGGGAGGTCTCAGGTTCGCTCCCCGGTGTTGACAGAGAAAGTTCCTCTGGATTTCCGGCGTAGTTTTCTCTTGTAAGTGAGGCATGGGACGAAAAACCGAGGTCCTGTGTACACATTGATCATGTAATAGAATCCTTGGGAGTTGGAATTCGAAATATGAATGAGTAGGAAGCAGTGCCGCTCTGCGTACAAAATTTAACTAATAACACACTGTATAGTATTCCGGCATTCACTAACACGCAATAGATATTAATTGGTGCGCGTTAGTTATTATCCAGCGCGCACCAGTTATTATCCGGCGCGCTACTTATTATCTGGCGCACGCTAGCTATTATCAGGCGCGATAGATATTTTTTTTTATTTTGCGGTCCTTAGCGGCCCCGCTGAAAAGTCATTTAGACAAGTTCAGAAAATAAAACGAAACGAAACAGTGCATCAATATACAAAAGGAAAGTAGACTAATTAAGTGCCCCCATGATATTTCACCCAAATTTCATATCAAATCAAAGTTTCGACTGGATAAACATATTTCTGTGGTCCAAATCCAACTTTTATATGGAAAATGTGTATTTTCTTAACATGCAGCAATAAAACACACAATTATTACTTTTATTGCTAATTAATGCCGAATTAAAATCCTTCACAAGTCAAGTCTTGAAATGTATAATTAATTTCTATAGACCATTAAAGCGTCTAAACATCCTGTCACGACTTTAGAAATAACTCAGTATGCCATAAATATATATAAAGAAAGAGACAAATGGGGTTTACCGTCCACTCCACACAAACTACATCATTTCGGGACTAACACATGGCTCAAATTTATTTCAATAATACGCTTGCGCGTAGGGGTCTTTAGCAGTGGGAGGAAACCGGAGGACCAGGGAAAAACCCACGAGGTTGGACAGGCGACCCTACTCCTTGTCACGTACAACCGGGGAATCGACAAAACGCCAGTTTACTCAAAGACAGACCTTATGAAACAGCGCGCACAAGCTAACCATTTGGCCATCCAAACACCCACCACCCCTCCCCCGCCACAAATATAGGAGTATCCTACCTGCTCCAGACTTTCGTAGTGGGTGCGTAACCATCAGACTTTAGTGTGTAGGCGCCATTCTTTGTGCATTACATTGTTCTTTCTAAACAAAATCAACAATAGCTTAAGATCTAAATACAAAAGACGGGGTTTGATATCGAACAATATAGTTACACACTTACGGAAACGGCGAGACTATTGATAATGGTTGGCGAATTTCCTTTCTAAAATCTAATTATGACATTCTTATCGAATCCGCTTCATGGAACGTATAGATAGAAATTAGAATGACATAAAATAAATCGACGTCTGGTATTTTATTTTAATGTAGACTATGTTGCTATGTTCGTGATACTTCTAGAGTGATGGAATTTAAATCTCCAAAATCTGGGGATATCAGTTCTAATCCGGCAGTATTCTCTTGTAGTTCATCTCGATCCCGATACTATTTCTTATATATACATTTATCTTTACAAATCGTTGTGTGGTCGATCAAACTCGTGTCGAAGTACCCACAGGTATATAAATACTTGTGTTTTTTTGTGACGAAAATTGGCACTTCAACCGATTGTTGTCTGCTAAGCCGTCAAGATGGAGTTAAATACGAATGATCCGCCAGCCTTTCCCCCAAAAAATCCTAGGACAAATAAACCTGTCTGAGTTTTAAATTATTTAAATTATTTTGGATACAATAAGAATTCACTGGTTTATCTTTACATATATCGTGCAAACTTAGAGAATGGCTTCTTTGTTTTATTTTATTAAACTGTCTCCACTATGTGCTAAATTACCAATAGAAGAAATAGTCTGTGTGATTTCATGTATACATAAACTTAGAAAATTTTTCAAAAATGCATTGGGTTGTTTATAAAGAGGCTTCAGCGCACTTCGTTTGTCAATATAGTTGCATCATTAAAAGTTGGAATATTTTTTGTATGCTCAGGGCCTGGCAAGGGATACAGTCTAGTCATTCCTTTCACACTTGTTCAGGTCAGGATAACCAACTTGTACACGAAAACAGAATTTATTTATTTTCTTATATACACTGTTTGTTTTTATAATATATATATATAATATAAACATTAGTGTTGTAGATAAAAACAGCTGTATAATGAAAACCTTGCGGTGATATTTAACATCATTCCGTTAAAGGTTCACTTTTCAACTATTAGTATTTCCATGTCTAATTTTATGGTTAGCAATGGAGATAGTGGGTGGAGATAGACAGAGATAGAGACGCACATATATACAGTTAGAAAGACTGGCACACAGACAGACGGGCAGCATTTCCGGAAAAACATGTGGTATGCATTATTTCAATAACTTTCCCCTCCTTCCCTCTGTCAAAATTAGTCTGCAGGAAATAAAAATTTATATCGCTGGCTCATAAATTTAGTAATCTTTCACCCTTTTCAGAGAATGTGGCAGTCGATCGAAAATGCTCTGCGGAAGTTAGCAATAAGAATATTTTCGTTAATCGGTGTTATTTCCCCTGACATCGTTCGGAATAGGAAAATGTCAAACTACAATAATTAATACTATAATCTTGGTGTTCGAGACTATATGAGTAGAAGGAAACTGGAGTACATGGAGAATTTTACGACGCTAGAGAGATTACCCCACTCTTTGTCACGTAAAACTCTCTCTAGTGGTTCCTAGGCATCAAGTATACAGTCTCTAGCCCATTCCGCCAACCATTACTCGGTGTCGAGTATATGTTCGTTCGCCACTACAGATTATAAGGAAGTTTTCAATCGTCTTTAGAAAAGCGACAATGACTTACATTTGTTAAAGCGTCCATTGATGTTACAATGGTAACTTTAATCATTGTGTCTATATTTTACGAAACAATGAGTTAAAAGAAAATTTAACTATTAATAACAAATTTCAAACGCGTTTCAGTTTTCATATGTCTACACCAACGCGATACCGTAACTATAATAAACTTTACATGTAATGTAAAAATGTTTCATTTATACCAATAATCATGAATAAAATATGAATGGGTCTTAAATTAGATGAGTATCTGGATAATTGGGTGCCATTTTTGATTATGCGTCTAAATTATTCTACTAAAAGACAATTAGGAAGCTAAGCATACAGGTTTCATATATATGAGGCTTGCTATTACAGTCCATGATTCGATCCCATGTTTGTACTCGATAGCTGATAAAGAGTACAGAACATATCTTGAAGATCTCCCATCGTCCCTTGAAACGTCGGTACTAAAGTTTAATGTCAGTTGAAACATAACAGTGTAATACCCTATACAATGATCCGAGAACAAAAACAAACTGATATGTTGTGCCTTAATGGACGTATATCTCCTTTAACACAGAGATCGAACCAGATTCCTTCCGGCTAGCCAGTCAGCGTCTTACTCACTGAGCCAGCGCGCCTCCCGGTACATATCAAATAGATATAAACCTGTCGATGCTTTGACGTTAACGTTTGGAAGCAGACGTTAAGCCTTATCAACCAACTAACCACGTTAATAGTTCTAAAATAAAATTGACGGTCTAAAATTATACTAAACGTTAATTCAAAATCTCACCTTAAACATGAATATAGCATATAGTTCACCTTGTCATAGCGTACAGTTTTAACTCCACGCGGACATATACTCATTCTAAGTATTTCATTTAAAACATCTTTAAATATAATACTATTCTGGCCTTAATGAACACGTAGAGTCTCGTAAGAAGAGATAGCATCGATTCCAATAATCCTTAGAAGCTCGTCTCTTCAACAAGTCTTCTTGTAACATGTCATTACTTGAACTGTTGCCAATTTTAAAAACAACTCTCTATGTCGTTGGATGTATATTTGGACTAACTGTGTCTGAGTATTCATAATATTTTGGTATCGATCTGGCATCAAACGACAAGTTGGGGATTTTTGTGCGAAGAGAGGTAAATATTTGACTCCTGCTTTTTTTGAGGGGCCTATAGATAGATATGACGGCTGATCATTATGTTCAGGCGGTAACTGTAGTAGAGCGAGTGAAGGGTTTATCGATTCCCAATCGTAGATTTGTATCTACAATCAGGATGCGGTGACAACTATTGATCATTTAATGTACCTGACACAGCTTCATCCTTTCAGTATACTGAATTCTATAGTATCAAAAGAAGTACACATTGGCCATTTCGAGTTTCCACTTATTGACAATAATAAATATATAAAGAATTTGTCATTACTTATATAAACATGTAGACAATGATTCTGATCTTCTAATAATAAGAAAAATATTAATAATAATACATTTGGACTTAATCATGGTATATTGATTCTTCATGGTTCAAAAATTGCGTTAGGTTTCAAGTGACATAATAATGTCGTGTTTATAGAAAATTCGATCTGCATGCACTCAAAATTTCAATCAGAGTTAAGCAGAATTGAACTGAACTGAACTGAAATAGGGTTTAACATCCTGCTTTTCTGCACCAACCAATCTCTTATCCGAAGGGTTAGTCGCATTTCGTTGCCAGGCCCTCCACCCTGAATCACTAACAAGGGGGAAACCATGCTGGAAAATCCCGGGGAACTTTCTCTTTCAACACCGGAATCGAACGCCGGCCCCTGGTAACTGAACCAGCGCCTTACTCACTGAGCCACCGTGGCTCCATATAGCGGACTTAATTCTTCTATGCATATTATCGGTATACATAGAAGGACGAACTTCCGAATTATGAGGTTGTTTTTTTTTTAAAAAAATGCATTCAAATTCTTAAATATAATCAAAAATATATATAATTTTTGACAAATGGCGGCTTTAAAATGAACTTCGATGGCTATGTGGCTTCAAAACACAATGCTATTTGATTACCTTTCAATGCGAAAATAGCCTGCTATTAGGCAGGATTTATTTTACGTCAGATGACATACGTCAAATAAGTAAAAAAAAAAGCAAAATGTCAGAGAAACGTGACATTGAACATTTGTTGTTTCACATGTCAAATTAACGTTCAGATGAAAAATGGGCATTTTGGACATGTCGTCATGAAAAGAGTATTAATGATCAGTCATATCAACGTTATTGTGACATGTCGGAACAATGGTTCATTTTAACTGATCAAACCCAACATTAGTTATATTTTTGCGCAGATACCGCCTCTTTTCTTTCGTGGAGGTTAATGTCCGTTTCGAATATCGTGGTGGAAAGGTTAGTCTACCCACAGGAGTCTGACCTTATATATATATATATATATATATATATATATATTTATATGCATACACCATGTCTAACCAGACAATATAAAAAGAACAGACATGCAATGCCTGTTTAAGACTCGATTTCTAATTGCACCGTAAAAATAATGAATTTCAAAATTAGCTTTATTTGAGCAAACACTAAATACAAGCTAAGGGAAATGCAACACAAATCAAGAGAAGATACGGTAGAATGTTTTCTCAGCCATGAAACTTGTTTGTTGTTTTTGTACAAATGGTGATGTTATCTTCGACCCTATGTAACACTGGCCACAATGACCAGAAGACAACACGAGTATTAACACGTAGCTCACAATTTGTAGGACGTGAACAATGTCAATAATAAGTCAGTAACAAATATAGCCACCTTTTCAATGTATCTTTTCCACCCTTTTAGTCTTAACAACAACCTGTTACTCAAAACTTTCACATCACAGACAATTATTATCTATTGGTGGTAAAGAGGAAAACAATATAAACCCTGTGACCTTTCTACCACGGATCTTATTTTAATTAGAAAATGCCCTAACCAATTACATCGGTAATTCAACTTATTTCTGGTGCAAATCTTGTAAGTCTATCTTTTGTCATGGGCAAGTAAATAAATATTCAAGTAAGTCATTTAAACATTTGAAAATCGCAGGTAGAAACGTTGCTGTTAATACGTAAAAACAGCATGCACATTGCCGTACGTTGGTCTCAAAACGATCGCAATATTGTGTTGAGTACTCGAATCCATTTCATGACAATGAAACATAAAATCAAATAAACTATTATTATTACAATCTGGTTAAAACACAGACCCTATTTCGTTTAGTTTTTATAGTTCAAAATTTCGTTTTACTTGTCTTTACTACACTTGGATCTGGAAGAGTTGTTATTTAACTCGTGTTCTGAATGGTTTCAGGGATAAGCCGATGAAACGGTCTGTTACGGCGGGCTTTGGGCGTGTTTTGCACGGAATTGTGGATAATCCACTAGTAACATCAATGCTGATTGGTTAATCAAATGTCTGACGTCATAGGGTCATAAGTTGGTCTTTTGACCCCTGACGTGACCTATCACTATAACTTGTCAGATCTTCATGCCGTGTAGGTCATCGAAAGTATAAAAAACGAAACGAAATATAGATCTGTATTTAATCAGATTGTGTCTTGAACTGGTCTCGACTTGACTCTAACGGGGTCTTTCATAAAGTAGAGAAAGATCTTTAAATAACTTACGGGTTTATAGAATTTTTTATGGCATAAGTAAGGTAACATCATTATAAAACTTGTCTATTAAACATTGCTGTAGTTGAGCAGACATTGGTATAATGAAAAATGTACAAAAGAAGTGTGAGTATGCGGGAGGCGGTAAAATACAACTATCCTACCTCATGAATTCTCAACAACAACTAATATTTAATTACAAGGAAAATGACACTATATGATATGAAAAGTAATTTGCTATGCTCAAACAAAATAGTTCGATAGAAAAAGAATTACTAGTGTCTTAATATAAAATAGAAGTCATGGACTTTCTAATATTTCTAAAGTATATCCAACGTAATTAAAGTACCGTATTATAACAAGAAACATCAAGTCCAATCTCGGTTTGCGAAGATGAACGTGGCCAAACAGACACTCTGGTGAATGCGGGGATCGATGAATTTAAGGTTTAAATTACTATTAGTGTGTGTTTCTGATGAAAATTATATTGTTGAAATTGTAATGAATTTGGTGGTATACTTGTGCCAAATGAAACAAGTGTAAAACAAACACGCTTTGTTTGACACGACCAACTCCCCACCGCCCCTACCCCGATGAAGATCGCCAGATATGTAGTTTGGGTGAAGGACAAATTATCCAAATTCTTATCCTCTTTTTAGAAATCGTTTATTTCTAATTCCCTAAGTGATTTTGTTAATTGTCAACTGTTTTGTTATCTATAAACAACATTTACATGTAGGGTGTTCGTTCATCTGATGTTGACAGAATCACATTAAGCAATCATTCCACGTATTACAGAGGCCAACAAGCAAAACGTAGAAGATTCCTGTCCAGTAGGCCAGTATGTGGTGTTGTTGTCTTTTGGTGTGCCAGTAGGTTTGTTTTTTGTTCTACAACTTCCAATTAGACCATGCTAACATTTGATTATATTTGGATTATGTTCCGCATGTAAACAGATTGTTAAAATATATTTTCGGAAATGATATGCAGCTTCTAGTCCCGAAGAGGAGGCAGATTTGCTCATTTCTACCGGCCCCGCCACTACAGTAGACCTTAATATTTCTACGCAATGTTAACTAAAGTCGTTTAAGGGGCTTGTCCTGGATTAGAGACCGCCCTGTCCGAGAGACACCCAATCTGATTAATATACAGATCTATATTTTGTTTGTTTTTTTTTATACTTTCGATGGCCTACACTACATGAAGATCTGACCAGTTGTACTGGGAGGTCGCATCAGGGGTCATACGAGCGGCTTTTGACCTTATGACGTTAGACATTGATTAATCAATCAACGTTGACGTTTCTAGGGGTTTACCCAGTTCCGTGCAGAGCACGCCAAGAACTCGCCGTAACAGACCGTGCCATTGGATAATTCCTCACATCAACTAGAACGCTTGTTATATAACAACTCTTCCAGATCCTAGTGTTGTGAAAACAAGAAAAACGAAATTTTGAACTATAAAAAACGAAACGAAATAGGATTTAAAGACACCTTTAATTAACCACACTTGAAAACGTACTTCTGAAAATTTGTCATTTATACCGCCAACCATTTTAAATAGTCAAAATGATCACACGGTGTCGTACAAGCTGTCGACAATGAAATCGCATTCTACATCATTATAAAAATAGCGCAATACTATATAATTACATGTTACTGATATTGAAATATACACAGCTGTGACTATATACATACATTAAACTACACATGTATATAATATTTATCATATAAATCTCATGTGAAATTGTTTATGGTCGTCTGTATAAATTGGGCTTGGGTTACAATAATGTGTGTTTATTGTCGGGGAGACCGGTGTTTGGTCATTATTTAGACGAATTTTATTTTGAAGGTTTGATATTTGTTATAACTAGTGCTGAACGTGGTAGTCCTGTACACACTTGTCACACGACCTCAGAAAAATGGACCACAAAATTCCGCACATCTACATTAAAATCACTAATTATTGGACGAGAGGAGAAAAATATGTTTTAGGGTTTTTTATAGCTTTCAGATTCGCAAATGTTATCATGAAGATCTCGAACTCAATACCGTCCATAAGACATGATTTCGTGCACATGCATCATGCGCACTTGACCAATGATTACATTCCTGTATCATAAGCATCCAGACAAAGAATAATGGCGCTGAACGTGCATCAAATACGTTATATTCAAGAAAGATAAGAAAACAAATGATATGGGGTTTGACATCCTACTGTGTGCAGGCTGATGAAGACGGGCATATCCCATGTAGTAAGAGGGAGAGATGGGGTTTAACGCCCACTCGACTCAAACTAGGTCATATCGGGACTAAAACGATTCAATTTTATTTCAATAATTCGCTTGCGCGTGGGGATCTTTAGCAGAGGGAAGAAGCCGGAAGATCCGGAGAAATCCCACGAGGTTGGAAAGAAAAACTTGTGTCCAAAATAATAGGCCCGTACATAACGGTATTAAAGTAGGATGTTAAACCAATTTTCTGGCGTGATTCCTCTTTGTCAGTGAGGCAGGACGGAGGGCCTGGCAAGTGATAACGTATAGTCGTTCGGAAAGGACGAAAAACTGACGTCCCATGTACAAAATGAAATGAAATGAAATGGGGTTTAACGTCCTACTGTTCTGCTCCGAACTGGGCTAATGAAGACGGGCAAATCTTTTACGCGCAGCTAATGTGTACACGGGACCTCGGTTTTTCGTCCCATCCGATCGACTAGGCAGTTGCCCTTGTCGGGCCCTCCGTCCTGCATCACTGACAAGGGGGAACCACGTCGGAAAATCTGGATGAACTTTTTCGGCCAATGATCGAACACCCGACCTCCACGCTAGGATCTGTGTACATATCATACTGTATATTGAGTTGAGTATATTGTCGGGTTATATATTGTTGACTGGTTGTTTGGCTAAAGCAAGTTCTCTCCCCTGATCAACGTTTTCTTTCGTCTTCATGTTGGACATTTTCAATTTTGTTTTCTTGTCGGCTTTGGTTTAGTATACATATTTTTTATAGATTCAAGTTTGCAAAAGATCTATATAGTATGTTTTTTTCTATTCTTAAAGTCCATGAAGGAATCTCTTGCAAACATAAAATTGAATCTCTATAAGCAATGGCCAAAAATGGCCCCAGGTTTAGAAAAGAAGCTAGTTCGACCTATAATCTTGGCAAAAATATTTTAATAGGGACCTTTTAATCCGACTGCTATAAGCTGGGAGATTATCTACTGGTAAATGCCGCAAAGAGACTTTAATACATGCATTCTGCACACAGAGAACTATCTACTCCTCTTCGAGAATAGATCTTTGTCCTGAATGGCCGCCATATCCAAAAATTATTATACTGTTTTGTAATGCGGTTCTACTCCGTTTCACATCTGTCATACACACACAAACTAAATAATCCTTTTCAATTTAATAAAATGGAAGCAGAATATATATATTATACTTCTCAAAATTCGCGAAATATACTTAGTGTTTTCGACTAAAATCGTCGATTTAAGACTTAAAATGTCAGACAACTGACTAAGTGTCTGTTCTCAAGCGGAGCTAATTGTAGGCAGAGTAAGTTTAGTATATAATACACTTTTAAATTGAGTTAAGCATGTATATAATCAACCATGTTGACTATACTGGCATCGGCATCACAAATAGATTTTACAGAAGGGACTGTAAGAGACAAACTTTTATAAGGCCCTACAGGAGTGCTGAATGACAAAAGGTACAATATGTCAAAGTCAACAAGCCATATTTGTACATAGAAATGGGTTTTAAAACATATGCATTTATTATATATCTATATTTGTAAATGATAATAAACAAAATGATAACAATTTATGTATCAATAATTAGCCTGCAGCCATTCTACACTTTACCATCACTTATTGTTGCTGGTGTATACTTTTCCAACGGTTTATCGTCGTCATTAGACTGGTTCAGCTCGTAATCTCTTCCACTTTTCTTCCCACTGATGACGAAATAATTCAGATAAATAATAGACGAAAGCCACGCAAAGTGTGAAAATACGCCCACACAGCAGCCGACACAGGGCATTCGGATGTTGACCAAATTTGATAGGGATGGAATCCTTCAGTAAATCCGATCTCTGTTAAAACCTATAGCCTCTATAACGTTCACGGGGTTTTCGGAAAAGGGGATATAACCCTGGTACGGAAGGTCGCAGAACACTGAGTACCAAAAGGGTTCGTCATCTTATGGCCACAAATCTTCACAAGAAATTTGAAAAAGGGCTTTGACAACGATGATAACTCCGTAATATTGAATATCTATAGGGTTCTCAATACACCAATGTTTCCCATCATTTTTGCAAAAACATCTGTTAAAAACAATAGTATATATCGGGAGGATAACCTATCATGATCGTTCTATCATGACAACAATGGTTCACACCAAATTTAAAAAAGAAATATGTCAAAAACTGTAGCAACGATCGCATTCAAAGGTTTTTTCGGCGTGGGGGGGGGGGGATATAACTCCGAAACGGAAAATCGCTGAACGATTAATATCGATATGGTTATACCCTGATGACCCCAATGCTTCACCCTGAATTTTAAAAAATTCAGCTACAAACTATAGCTACAAACGTTCACAAAGTTTTCAGCAAAGAGAGTGGGGGTAACTTCGGTAATGTCGTGGGATGTTGAATTTCAATACGGATCACCCTCTCATGATCTCAATGATTCCCACAAAATTTGATTCAAAACTATAGCCTCTATCACGTCGCGGAACTCTGAATATCGCTATAGGTTCGGCTTCGCTTGGCCATAATGCTTCACGCCAAATTTGGGATAGTCTCTATCGCGCTCCCAAGCCAGTTTTTTGACGGACTACGTGTATAAAAATGAATATAAATCATACAATATTGAAACATTAGATTAGTAATCTGGATACCTCGAGTCGTTAATATGAAATACCAAATATAAAGCAGGATAATCCAAAGAAAGTTCTAGTTATACAAGAATTATTTACCTGGTAAACTGTTTAGCATCGTCAATAGTGTCAGGAAGTTTTCTATTCAACGTTTCTGGTAGAAAAAGAGAGAGGAGGCCAGCAGCAACAGAGGCTGAACCAAAAACTATCAGTGGTAGAGCTGTTTTAAGTTCTCCACCAACTAGCAAACCCTGGAAGTTATGAGATAACAATTATTTCCTCCGATGGCACATTTTAATAGAACTATAATATACTTTTCAAAAAGAACCCGGGATATAAATATGGATAAACACGCCTTGGTGAATATAAATATGGATAAACACGCCTTGGTGAATATAAATATGGATAAACACGCCTTGGTGAATATAAATATGGATAAACACGCCTTGGTGTTTCAATACACGTTCACTTTATACTGTTTTTATTACATTCCAACTAACAACTGAAGCAAATCCCAAAAATAATTCATCGCCATCAAGATCGGCGACCACGCAACGCGCATCCAGATAGTTCCTGACACTTTGCTGGGGTTTTCCACGAGAATATTATGTAATTTGTCTTCAAGTTCCGATATACTGCCCCCTACCTTTCACAGTTGACTCCAAAGGAAGGGCATCGAGATTAAGACCCCATCAACCATCAAGCAAATGGTTTTTTTTTCTCTTAAAAACATGGAACTCGTTTTCACTTTTAGATATTTTGAAAGTTAACTTTTCTCGATGTTTTTCCATGTGATTATATGTAGTTTGTCTTCCATGTACGATATAAATTGTCCTTTGTCATCCGTTGGTGGATGCTCAGACAAATAGACACAGAAGCATACATGATGAATATCGCCGCTTTACCCACCACTGATTTATGTTATACCCCGGCCTATGTTTTGGGATGTATCTTAATAGTATCAATACGACGCATTGACAACGTAATGGGGTATACAAAAGAAGTAGTTTCAGAGCAGTGAAAGTGTAAATATTATGAAAACGAAACGGCGATATATAGGTAACATACAAAAGTGTAAACACGACTTTCACCAACGTGTATGAAGTTGGTATTACCGTTGATTGACCAGGGATGACTTACCAAATCAGCAATGTAGGGCGAAATCATTCCACCAACACGAGCACACGTGGAGCTAGCACCAAGAGCAGAATTCCGCAAGATAGTTGGAAACAGTTCTCCAGCAAATACATAAATGATTGCAAAAGCCCCGGATGCTCCTAGTTTTCCAATCATAGACAGGGTAGTTGTTAACCATTCATGTGCTTATAATTAAAATAGTTTAGATTACTTTATAAATAAAGAAATATACAATCAAGAAAAATAGATCGATCATACAACCAATGGCGGTAAGTTGGACAGCCTAAATTTTAAACGGATTTATGAACAAACTACTTATTTATGGTTATTATAATCTTGCCTTGTTTGAAATCTCACCAAAAGAGTCATCGCAGACTGCGCGTATTATCATTTCTTGTTTTTTATTCAGACCGTGGGAAAAAAACTCGTGCAAGTTTCGTGCCAAATTTAATCGTCTTCACTACATTTATACAATGCCTCATATGACATGAGGCCTTATACGGTAATAGAATTCAAAGATTTGTTTGACTGAGCCATGATCACGATCTTGGCAATGCCATCGGAAAATTCCATGTTCGCAAAGTGACAAAAGCTATGTATGAAATCTTAACTTAACGGGTGATTGTCATTAAACTAATTGAAAGTGCAATCGTATTTATTGCCCCGTGAATTTCAAAATGAAGCCGGGATTTTTTGTTATTCTAATTGTGTTACGGAAAATCACGATTATAAAATTCTAAACAGTTCTTGCACAATGGAAATATAGGAAGAGAATTGAAACGAAACTATCTGTCGATAATTAAACCGATGGGGAATGGAGGTATCTGATTTGTTGATAATACGATAAATGAATTTATACAAATAAAATAACAGTATATACGTATTCAACGGCCTCGTCTATTTTATGGAGGAAAATCTAAAATACGTCGGCATTTACATGGTCTATAGCAGAATGGCGAGGTTAATTGAGAGGGTTGTTTTAGTTCATCAAGAGATTGAAGGGTTACATTCAAGGCCCTAAAAACGACTGTGTTCAAAAACTGTGTTCAAAAGAAAATCATCCCACCTATCCTCTATAATCAAACAATTAAAACATGACGGAAACAAAATAACGGACAACGGACGTAGTTATATGTGTAACTCATTACTGTGGCAGGGAGAAATAGCTTATTCATACACAAAATTTAAATTGTCGTAAACCCACTGTATTAAATGATCTATTCCGATGAGTGACGTAATTAGCTTCCATTTCGATATTTCTCGATGTCAAAGTTTGTGAGGAGTTCAATTTTTCTATGAGAGATATTTATTTTATTGTTTGAAATATTATTTAATTGTACAGGTTTATAATAACGATAATTAAGTAGTTTTTTTCCTAATCGGTTCAGACAGTAGTGTCACAATATTGGCGTATCCTAGCTGGAAGCTTCTAGTTAGCCTACCCAATCATCAACGAGAGAATATTCTAGATGAATCCTCCCCTAAATGCTGCATTGCTTATTTTGTGCCAGAAAATGGACCTATTCCGTCGTACAATAAATGAGTCCCTTTCAATTCGCTTTGCTGACCACCAAAGCCTGACTCAATTATTACGCTGGTTACCCCCCTTTACCCACGAGTTCTTTGAATCTTGGAACTAGGCACAACTCATACTGAGTAAAGAGATTAACGTGTGCTTAAAACATCCTACCGGTAATCATTTATAACTGGCTATAGAGTGTTTATGTTCGAGCGATGAACCGGCAACCGTTTGATACCGAATCATACTCTCTAACCCAGCGTGATTATAACAATTCCTACAAAGTCAGGACACCAACGTACACAGCGCATGTTGGTATTATTATTATTATTGAGAATCAATGCAAGGGATCTTTAAATTCCACAGTTCTTTATTAGTGCTTTAACTTCGGGCCTGACAAGGAACCGTGCTCAGAGTCCACATCGTTTTGTCATGACTTCCACCAATGAACAAATACTTACATTTGTCTCCATAAATAACAGGAAACATAGTAGCAAGACATGCTATTCCTCCTAGTAACATAGCTGAACAGTGCAGTACTTTTCGTCCTAATCTGTCCAACAGTAGGATACATAATGCATATGAAACCGTCTCCGCTATGTTGGCTATGGTAAAGTTAAGGTAAGAATCACCACTCAGATTTGATACATTTAAACCCAATCCATAGTATACCATACTCACTACAAACCTTTAAAAAATATAAACGGGGTGTTTCTCAACAACCATACTACCTACATCGAATTACATAGTAATTGATTAATTAATTACGAAGATCTGGGCTTTACTCAAAATGAAAAAAAAATACATATTTACACGAGAGACAAAAAGGGAATATTTCCCTAACATGCAAATCAAGCAGAATTTATAAATTCAAATTATCGCCTTCTATTCTAGACTAAAGGGTCATTAAAAATGGGCGTGGGAAAAATGGAAACGGGCAAAAGGGAGAAAGACTATAAAGAAATGCGTTACAATCGGAACCAATATATAGAAATACATTGAATAAATCCACCGTGAGTTAACTGGCAATAAAACTGTGGCATTGGTTAATATATTATATAACATAAAAGGTTTTTTAAATAATAAAGTACATAATGTGTTTAATAGCTTACCAATTAAAGAAAATAATCAAAGTTCGAAACAGTAAACTAGGGGTGGTAAATAGTTGCCATATTTTAGCTTTTGGTCCATCATCAAGTGTCGATTTATCAAATAATTTTGGTGGAAGTTCAGTATTATTGACTTTTGCCGCCTTGCGGATTATTTCTTCAGCTTCTTCGTTTCTCCCCTTGGATAACAGCCATCTTGCCGATTCGGGTATCAGCCTACAAATCATAAAATTATATGTACTCCATCACGACTCCTCGTATGCCATGCGGTCACAATGGAACCCAGTAGAGATTTGATTAAACGTTAAAAATAGATGCGCTCCATCAAAAGTATTGACACTACAGAAAGATGACTGTAGCTACTGAACCAACTTACCACAAACAGAAAGGTCGACATCAACTTACCACCAATATGAAAGAAAGAAAATCGCGGGTACTGAAGTTACCAGGGTAAGTGTTTTCCAATTTCTTATCAAGTATGCACAAATTGTTAGGACAAACAATCCTATGGCCCAGAACACCATGATCACCATTCCTGCTATAGTTCTTTTTGAGGGACCAACCAATTCTAATCCTGAAATATTGACATTAAATGTATTTGTAAGATAATTGGAATTTGAAAGAAAAAATATACAATTCCATCTGACCAACACCCCCTCCCACACACCCTCCTCGATATTGTTTCACTAAAAGTAAATTTCCATAGAGACCATAAACGAACATTTTAGGCAAATGTATTTGCTTCGACTCTCGCCATTCTTCTTTTAATCATATTATTTTACAATGACCCTCTGTTCGTCCAAGTGTGGCAGAAGTTAATGAATCGTATGTGACATGCAGCTAACAATATTACATTTGGTTCTACGCTTCTGTTAAAAAGAATGGGTGTTACACTGTGAATACGTGGATTGTTGCAAATTAATGATGCAATCGTGGATTAAGACAATTCATACCTATTACAAAGGACGTCATAAATATACCGCTCATAGCAAGACCAGTAAAGAACCTCAACGTTGCGAAGCTAATAAAATCTGTACTAAAAGCAGTCCCAATTCCAGTTCCTGTCCATAAAACTATAGAAATCAAAAGCGTTTTCTTTCTGCCAATTCTGAAAAAATTTTTTTACAGAAAGTTGGATTTACACTTATAGAGAAATTAAATTTAAATGGCATTATCGGATGGTAACTGTTTTTACTATTATTTCATATCTTAAACAATACATTGATTGGTTCTCACGGTGATCCAGCCATAATAAGCTTAAACTGTTTGCTAATACGTGAGTAAAGCCTACACTCGTCAGTTTTGTCCAGACCGAGGGTGGTCAGATTTAACAATACTGTTAGTATTTTACATATAAAAAATGTTGATAGGATATGCCATTATACTTCTCTCTACATAAAATTCTAGTAACTATACAGATGGTTTGTGGATGTTTAACATACTTTTAGACCACGAAAACTGACATTGGTATTCGACTTTGGCATGAATATTTACTATGTTATCTATTACACATTGCGTCAAAATCAAGTGAAAATATTATCCGGTCCACAAATGATGACTCAAATGCGCATCGCCTACCTTCAGGGAAAGTGACTTTACGTAAAAGGCCTGGCATAACACCCGTGTTGAATATCGATGTGGGATGTGTTTTCTATGTTTATTTGTTTATTTGAAAAGTTTGTATATTCAATGAAGGCTAATTTTATAAACTTTAAAATAATAACTCACATATCCGACACCAAGCCTAGACCAAGCGCACCAACTAAATTACCACCGAACAAGATCATATTAGCAAGGGATCTGTAGAAGGCTCTATCACAAATCATGTCAACCTGAAAATATTGTTACAGTCTATAGATCCTTTGGTCTTAAAGCTAAACACATTCTTGAAATCTAATACTTTTCGTAATGGGTGATCTTTGAATTGAACAAATAGTGATATGATACCAAATGTCCTAGAATTCTGATAATATGATAGATATGTCTATGTAAACATGGTGTCCTATGGATTCTAGATTGGTGGTTGTCGAACTACAAAATGGAAATGTCCCAGACATGACCTCAAAGATCTAGTTTTACAAATTTAGGCATATTGTTCTTTACATAGTTTCCATATTAGGAAATTGAAATACATTTGACCAATCAAGTAATTAATACATCTAACGTATTCACGTTTGGGGGCTAAAGGGCAGAGGATTCTTGTGTTTGTTAATCACCATTCCTAGACGAGGGAGATAGGCTGTAGCCTTTGTATTAGTGATGTATTACTGCTATATAAACACGTATTTAGTATTAACAGAACACAACGTGAAGTCCATATTGAAGTCCATAATGAACCAACGTAAAGTCAAGGGTTTTGAGAGCTACACATGATCGATAGTGCTACATACTGTTAATTTCGATGGCCAAGGAGGACTTACCTGTCACACAGTAAAATGACACATACACGAAATGTTTTAAAGATAAGAACGAATACCTACCTCTGATATAAATGTACTTTCATACTGCGATCGATCGTAAACCCATTTATTACACCCAACTTCTGTTCTATTACCATCTTTATTATAACTGTATACATTACATTTAGACCAACCATCTTTACTACTAGGTATAGACTGGTTAATCAAATCTTGGTGCCATGTTCCTTGTATAGCATACGTATCATTAGATAACGACGGTACAGCACACCTAAAATATAATATTATATTACTATAAACCGGTCAATTTACAACTTGTATTCGACGTTACTCGCTGCCCATTTACCCTACATATCAAAACATAAAAAAAGTAAATTCTTGGATTATCCTTTACCAACATCTTTTTCAGTCATTTAATCGATCAACACAATCCCAAACGCTCCCAACGTCATCACGTCGACAACACGCCGACAGGTTTCTGGTTAGTGATACCCATATAATTTTTGTGCTGTCCGCACCCATGGTTATTTTACGGGGAATCCAGTCCCCTCTTTCCTTGACATGCTTTATCTGAAATAACTACTTTTGTGGGAATATATCTTTAATCTAATAAATCTGGACTAGTATCGAAGCCCATATTATTAATGTGTACAATAGTATAAGACAGATTCAATAAAACTCCAATTTAATCAAATGTGAGTAAGGTATGAATAGACAAGTAATATCCAAAAATATATGTAACAGGGTCATATTTTGGGACTCTGTCAATTAATGTTGGTGAAGAATGTCCTGATCAGTGTCTTGATTGTTGGAAGTTTTTAATAAGTGAGTTTATAGTTTTGGTTGTGAGATAATGTAAATTCATTAAAATGTTTTGGGGGATGGATTTTCAGTTGTATGGGTCTGGAATTGTATTGTCCGGATTATGGTGTTTTATTTTAGTGGTTGAAATGTCTTAGTTCTTATATGGGTTTACTTTTAATATTTTTTGGTATAGTTGAAAGGATAACTCGTTGGACTCTTTATAGTTCTGAAGGTGGTCTCTTTCTGAAATATTGTTTATCAGGTGATTAGTAATTCTTTGTCCTGGTTGGTTATTCAGAAGTTTAGCTGGGATAAAACTAAATTACACGCATGCATCAGTACCACATGTTACAGATTTAGTGAAGGTCAATACCGGCTCTTTTCCACAAATGGGTAAGCTATTTAATTTAACTTTCTTGTAATAGATGACTGCAAGTGGACTGTGAGTTTCATGAGTGTTTGATATATAATTATATATGTAATTCAAATACTGTAAGGTAAAAATTGTAGGATGTGTAGCCAATAGAACTGTTGGTTACGAATATATGGATAATGGCAACTATTGTATTTTCAGGGCCAACTTGTCGAGCATAAATGTATTTTGTGTTATAGTTATGTGTAGTACCAACAGAAATGGTGTTTAATGGTTATGGTGAATTGAAATACATCTAGATCGACCAACATCGACTACGCGCTTACGCGTTTCATTTAATTGTTTTAAACTGTATCATGTGTCGTTTGTGGATTATATAAACTTATTTAAACCTTATCGTGTTGTCAATCAAGAAATCTATTTTCCCGAACTAAGCAGGTTCAATCTATCAACTTTACCACACCATTGCAGGTGATGGAAAGGGTAGGTCTGCAATAATGGAGCCCCCAGGGAGGAGTAGATTTTCTTGGTTGTACCAGTAACAAGTTGAACTGTTTAGTTTTCAATTAACTTATCGTTAGACTTTAAAGTGAATCCGATGGCGTTTAATTACTGACATTCAAATTTATATGCACATTATCATCAAGCTTGAATTCTCGTGACTTTGTGACAGTGTTTAACCACTGGAACTGAAATTATAACAGATTCTGGATGAAGATTGGAACTGTGTAACAGTGAATATTGAACATTAATATTATGAACTATTGATTAATTTAGTGTTAATTTGATTAATTTAGTGTTAATTTGTTTGTTTTCATTTATTTTTAGTGTCGGTAAACCTGGTATGTATGGTTGTAAGTATGGATGTTGACAGCACTAATAAATAAATAGGTCAAGTTTAAATAAGTTAGGGCATAAAATTCCGTAACTATTGATAATCTTAGAACATCATTCAATACACATTGCATTATACTAAAATATATAACAGTTATCCCAGTAACACTATAACTTGTATTGTCTTTATTTTATCAACAGTGGAGTTTTTTTTATGTAGAGTTTAGAGTAGTTTGGTCAGTTGATTGGTTTGAATATGTCGGAGGAAGAAGTTGTGGTCTTGGGTAACACACTAAGAAAGTTGGGTCTTTTTCCAAAGCGTATAGGTAAGACTGAAGATGACGTTGCTGAGTGGATGGAAGATGTTTTGAAATCTAAAGGTAAGTGGCCGGTTAAATCGGATGATGAAACAGAGTCGTCTACTAAATCAAGACCACCAGTTAATCCGATGCCGAAGTTGTCAATGTTTTATGGTGAACCAGGAAAAGGTGAAGTTAGTTACGACCTTTGGAGATACGAAGTAGATTGTTTAATTTCAGAAGGTGTATATGATAACCATGTAATACTGTTGGCTATTCGCCGATCACTTAAAGGGGAGGCCGGTAAGGTTATAATGCGGTTAGGTCCGCATGTTGATGTTAAAACTGTCTTAGCCAAATTGCATAGTGTTTACGGTACATGTGAAGAAGCAGAATCTTTAATCGGACTCTTTTACAGTGCTAAACAATATCCATCTGAAACGGTTACAGATTGGGCATGCCGGTTAGAAGATATATTCGCAAGAGTAACTCGAGAGGGTAGTCCAGATCCTAAAGAATCCGATGAGACATTAAGGAATGTATTTTGGCGTGGATTGTTGCCACACTTACGTGATTTGTCTGCTCACAAATATGATAAATCAACAAGTTTCGACACACTACGTGTTCAACTTCGCCGTATAGAGCATGATGTTAACCAACGAAACTTATCAGCGAGTACCGCTACTTCGAAGCCAAATCCTTTTAACATGATACATACAAAGTCTTCTAATTCTGAATTTCAGGAACTTAAAGGGATAGTTCACAGTATTTCTTCACAAGTTAGTGGATTGAAGGATCAAGTTTCGCAATTAGCTTATAAAGTTGACAGACCTAAGGTTCCACGATGGCAGTCACAAGGAAATGATTCAAGAGGTGAGATGTCAAATAATTTTAGTAGTAATAACCGGGATAATCGGCGTAGTAGTCAAGGACCGGGACCCAAGTGTTGGGCTTGTGGTCAGTACGGTCATATTAGGTTGGGTTGCAGAGCAGCATTTAACCAGAATCGTTCTTTAAACGTTCACAACCTCAGGCCAAGGGAAGCGCCCTGGGGTACTCCACGCAGAGACTTCCCAGAGCGACGTTGAAATCGAATTTTGTAGTTGGTGAACCTAATGAAGCCAATGTTAAAGTTGAGGGAAATTGTTGTACTGCACTTTTAGATACTGGATCAACTGTGTCTACTGTAAGTGAAGAGTTATATAATTCTAAATTAAAACATTTACCTTTACAACCGCTTAAAACTATGTTGGATATAGAATGTGCTGATGGTAAACCATTGCCGTATAAAGGATATATTGAAGCAGATTTACAGTTTTCAGAATTGACAGATGAAACAATAACTTGTATTTTATTAGTAGTTCCGGTGAGTAGATATAATTCATTGGTTCCGGTTTTACTTGGAACAAATGTATTGACTCTTCTGATGAAACAATGTAAAGATGAACATGGGAAATCTTTTCTCCAAAAAGCGAAATTAACCACTTCTTGGTATTTATCTTTTCGTAGTATGGATTTATCAGAAAAAGAATTAGTCAAACGAGATTTCAGTTTAGGAATAGTGAAAAGTGCCTCAGTCAATAGGATACTAGTTCGTCCAAATTCTCGTATAACGTTACCATGTTATGTTGATAAAAAGTTACGATACCCGAAGGTGTCGGTGATGGTACACCCATGTCAACGTTCCAGTATTTCATCTGATTTAGATGTTTCTCCATCCATAATGATGTATGATTACAATAATACAGATTATATTTCAGTTAACGTTTCAAATGTGTCTACAAATACTATTGTTATTTCACCCAAAGCTATTGTGTGTGAACTACAGCCGGTAAATATTGAAGATAACGAAGTTACTTCAGATGGATCCAATGCCTCGGTCTTAAATAAAGTAGAAATTGACGAAAGCGATTTATCAGAGGAAGAGATAATTCAAGGTAAGAACCTGTTGTTAAGTTTTGACGATATTTTCGCACATAATGATCTGGACTTGGGACATACATCCAGAGTACAACACAGAATTGAACTTATAGATGAACAACCGTTTAAGCAACGGCACCGCCGTATACCTCCATCGATGTTTACTGAAGTAAAAGATCATTTAAAGCAGTTGTTAGCATGTGGTGTTATAAGAAATTCACATAGTCCATGGGCATCAAACGTGGTACTTTGTCGTAGAAAGAACGGTAAATTACGCATGTGCACTGATTTCAGACAATTGAATAATAGAACGATCAAGGATTCGTACGCTCTTCCCAGAATTGATGAGTTATTGGATCATTTAGCAGGTAACAAATTTTATTCAAAGTTAGATATGAAGTCCGGATATTACCAGGTCGAAGTTGCCGAAGAACATAAGGAGCGTACCGCTTTCACAATTGGTCCGCTTGGTTTTTATGAGTATAACAGACTTCCTTTTGGTCTTTGTAATTCTCCCGCGACGTTTCAGAGGCTTTTAGAAGATTGCTTAGGAGATCTTCATTTGACGATATGTGTAGTGTATATTGATGATTTGATTATTTTTGCAGATTCATTCGAGGAGCATCTACAGCGCTTAAATAAGGTTTTAGAGCGTTTACGTCAGTGTAATTTAAAATTAGCACCTGATAAATGTAGTTTCTTTAAAAGACGTGTAAACTATGTTGGACATGTTATCTCCGAAGCGGGTATTGAACCAGATCCAGAGAAAATTGAGGTGATCCAAAAATGGCCACGCCCATTGAATTCTGTCGAGGTAAGAAAATTTCTTGGATTTGCTGGTTATTATCGTCGTTTTGTGAAAGATTTTTCGAAAATATCAAAACCTTTATCTATTTTGATGCCCACAACGGGTAAGAAAAATAAAAGTAATGTTTCCGTCAAGTGGAAGTGGGATATTGAGCAGGAAAATGCATTCTGTGAATTAAAGGATCATTTGTGTAGTTCTCCAATTCTTACAAGCTGTGACTATACGTTACCATT